ATTAACACCCTCTTTTTGAACATTTGGCAAATACTGCAGGAGTTTTGGGCACACCCATATTAGTCTCCTACCAAACCACAACTCGTCCAGCATTAGCTAGATGAATCGTTGTATAATGACATGAGACCAGGAGTACAAATTATATATTTTTGTAGAAGAATATTGAATATTACACTATTGTTGAAGGTCAAAAATATATCTCTCCCTCTTGCCCATCCCTCCACCAGCCACCCATCCTGATACCTTCCTGCACCTGATATCATTACCACCTCCCAAGCCCCAACTCCTCATCTCTGTCACCCTCCTTCTGACCACCCCCACCCCACCCGCTGCTCGTCACATCTCTCTCACCTCTCCCTCTGCTACCTGACACTTCTCACCTCTCCTGCTCTGCTCTCCATCCTTTACTCCGCCTGGCTCTACCTCCCCCTCTTACCACCCACCACCTTTCCACCCTTTCTCCCTGCATAGCTGTCCCCTCATTCTCTCAGCTCTGCCTCCTCTACTTATCACTGTCCCTGTGGCTCTCTGAACTCCTCCCTCTCTGTCCCTCTCTGCTTTCTGACACTTTATGTGTGGCTGGTGAACTTCCTTCTGTGTTCCATCTGCCCCTTTCCCACCTCTCCCACTCCCTTCCAGCAGACCCACCTACTCAACGGGTGCTCACCATACATGCAGGCAGGCACACACACAGCCCGGAGCTGTCAACACACTCCTCAGACACTTTGTGCTCTGCCGCAGTTCAGCAGCAGGGGGAGTTTGAGGCTGCTGAGTACAGGACAGAGTAGGGGATGACAGCAGAGCAGGCCCTTCACCTGTGATCCTGAGGAGATCTTATTTCTCAGTTATTTATTCCTTTATTCCATGTTTTTAATGTTTGTTCACTCTCAAGCCTGTAAATGACAAACCCCAAATGGAATACTAATAGTTCTTGAACCTTTTTGACTACATGAATGTAGATCTGTAATGATTAGTCACTAAGAAAGTGATTCTGCAACAATTTTGATAACCGATTAATCATTTAACTTTATATTTTCAGGTTTTAGATCATTTGTCAGACAAAACAAGACATTTGACTAAAATAGTGTTTTTTCCTGACATTTAATAGACAGGATGATTACTTGAATAACCTGTAGCATAATTGTCAATTTAATTAGTTGCAACCATACATTGTGTTGTCTATTCTAAGGATAAGGAGTTTACTGACCAAAAGTCAGAATTCATTTCTGTGATAATGAACCTAAGTTCAACATGGTAAAAATGTATTTACTGTTTTGTTTATTGTGTCCTCCTGTTACAAAATAAGTACTTGTTGGCAATGATCTTAAAGTGGTTTATGCATGAGGCTTTGTGTTCAAATAGTTTGTCATGGTTAAGTGAGAATTCTTCCCATCCCAGCTAGTATTCAAGGTCATTGCTCTGGTAAAAATTTCAAATGAACAAATATTTATGTTTATGTTTTATTATTTCTGCCACATAGCTGTTCAAATACTTTACCTGTTTCAACCAAAATAATATCAGCTGCAAAAAAGCACTTACATATTCCACATATATTGTGCAATTTCTGTTCCATATGTGTTATAGTGGATCTATAACTTACAGAATATTACAACAGCACTGCTCAGTGCACAACAGGCCTGTGCTCTGTCTGCTGCCCCCACCTGCTGGTTAGAAAGCTTTCAGTTTTTTGTTATTCAACAAATTGAACCCTGGCCAATCTCCATGTGTTTATTTGTCTACGCATTAATGTGTGTGTGTGCCTACAAAGATATGCTCAGTCACTTCCACCCACTTAGTTTCTCTCTATTTGTTTCACAGTGATCTGTCTCCCACACCTATCTCCTGCACCCCTTTGACCTAACAATAAAAGAGCAGAACTTCAGCAGACCACTAGGGCTGCTGGCCTAATGAACTTCAAATACTGACAAACACACAAAATCAACAGCCCTGTTCTCAGACCTGCATGAACAGTAATCACAGTTTGCTGGCCGGTGTTGTTTATATCACACCATTGCTCTCACAGACTGCAGGAGGGGAGAGTCGGTGACCTTAAGAGCTGTGGGGCCTGTGCTGTCTAATTCCATGTTTATGGTTTTGCCTTTTATAACACACAGAGACGGAGCAGCTCAGGCCACAAGCACACGGAAATATCATCATGCGCCCTCTCCACTGCTAATTGGTGCCTTGGTACCATCCCTCTGGTGCAGGGCGACCTGAGGAGCAATGCCAATTCCAGCCTCTGCTTCTCTTACTCTTTCTCCACAGAATTCACAGCACCACAGCAACATTCACTTGAACAAAAAGAAAGCTCACACAATAAACTTGTAACATGATGTATATTTCTATGTTAATTTATATACTGTATATTCATAAACTGTTGGCACAGATCATTGTACTTTATTATTTTATATGTCCATATATTTCTGACTAAAGAATGAACACAATAAGATTTCCTTGCAAAAGATTTAACTCATTTGTGGGTATATTTAATTTTATTTAACATACAGTACTCAGGGAGGGAAAGAAGTAAAAAAAAACATGTTAATGAGAGCATGTGTAGAAAGTAGCATTTCATCATTATGGCAACAGTGGAAATTATTTTGACGCTTACCAACTTTTACAACTAAGCTTCACAAAAGCCTGAAACCTGCAGGTTATTGATTTAGAACAGAAACATGACCTGTAAAACAAAGAGAGAATTATGAATTCAATGCCATGTCAGCAATGACATAAGGTTTTCTGAACTTTTTTCCAGCATAAATTTTGTTTATAAAGAATCAGATGTGCAGATTTAAGGATAACACGTCAAAGATTCTACTTTTTACGTACTCGCATATCGAAAGAATAAAGGTGATCACATATGAAAAGCGATATAAATGGAACATCTGCACAGAGGGAACGCACAGCAGTATGGGAGGGAAATGGAGGGCTGAATGGTTTGTGGTGCTGCGGGTGATGTGAAGAAGACAACAAAGCAATTATGGGATGACTAAGGATAGACATGCAACAGGGCAAGGGCATGAGAAAGAAAGCCAGACTGAGAGGAAGACAATAAAAAAGAAGGGGGTGGGGTCTCTGGTGACCTGCTGGAGTCCCCATCCTGCCACGGTACTGTATATAATTAGCCCCTGACTGTGCTGGCGAACATGTTCTGCAGTTATCTGGAGCAGGGGGGAGCTTTATCCATGTAGCTATCTGTCTACCGGTTCACTTTCCAATTATCTGCCCTCTTTTTATGCAGAGTATACAGTAATACATCTGTCTGTCTAGTGTGTGTCTTTCTGTCTGTGTGTCCATCAAAAGCTTTGTTTCATGTTTATATGCAAGTTTATTTGCCAGTAAATGTGTCTAAGCTCTGTCCACCTGTCTGCCATATTGGCTGTGGACCTTGATAAATCCCTATGCAATACATATTCATAATATGAACACATACACACATATACGGAGTCACACACAAACACCAGAAATCAGGATGGAGTCCTCTAAGTGCACCTTCATCCATTTCCACAAGGGGTCATAATTACATTGAAAAGATGTTTCAGCAGGTTTTCACTGTGGACCAAGATTTTAGGTTGAGAAATATGAATGAAACAATTGTATTGACATAGAAGTTCTCCTGGCCTTGAAATTATTTTTAGTGTTTATTTTAAAAAGAGCTATTTGCAGATGTGTGGTGCCAAAATTCACATTTATCACATCTGCCATGTGTTCTACAAAGAAACAGGTCTTTTAACTATAAAGCGAATTCCCTGTACAGCCAAAGTGAACCTACAAGAAGATACATTTTTTTTACCGACATTTTTCTTTTTGGTCTACAAGTCAGTTACAAGCAATACAAATAAATTACAGTAAACAGGCAACCACAACATACTAACTGAAACATATTAAGAACAGCTGCTACTGAGGGTTTCAATCATTAGGACAAATAAGTGAAAAGATTATTAGCAACTTAAATTATGTCGCCACATTAGGGTCTGTCATTTCACATAATCTCATACAGTGTTATTTATTAATTTATTTATGAATTTGCAGAAAAGTCCTGTATGTTTAGTTTTTAAAGACCCATAAAGTTTGGCATTATTGGTTAATTTCAGATTTTGTCTATTTTTCTCACAAAACCAAAGAATTTGTACAATTTTGTAATTCTTTGTCTTTAATAAAAGTGGTTAAATGTTTGTAAAATTATTATTATTATTATTATTATTATTATTATTATTATTATTAGATGCAATCTATGATTTTTAAATAACCTCACAGTTTTCAAATAAATAAATAAAAGGGCAATATCTTCACTTTAATGTTGCTACTGGTAAAGCTGGGGCTGATGGTAATTACTTTATATACTGCTAGGTAATTCTAATTATATTAAATTACTATTATAATGCATCATACTTTACTTGTTTTTTTTACATTTTATGTTATCTGCAAAGTAACTAAAACTTAGAGTAAAGATGTATTGCAGTATAAGTATAATGTAGCAGAAAACTGAAGTTGGTTTGCCTCAAAATTCTGTTTAAGTAGGCAACAGTACTTGGTTTTATTTTTATGTATCCAATATAATAATAAAAAGAAGTCAAATGTGTTGGACTCATTTTTTTTATCTTTGTTTTATTTTATTAGCTGGCGCTGTATCAAAGCGGTTTGCCCTGTAGGTAAGGAGGCAATAATAGTGAACTGTGAACACGTCAAACCGGTTATTAATAGCCTAATCGGATATCTGTAATACTAAACTACGCTTCCCACAATGCTTCACTATACCGAGTGCACGTGTTAACGTTGCCAACAAGCCGGACTGGACGTCACATTCCTGCATTCTCTTTTTTTCTCAGTCTTTGGGATCTCTGAGTTGCCACTGGATAGGTAATCCTCTTTCATACTCCTGTTTTTGAGAAACATACCCATGACACACGGAGTATTTAATCCCAGGAGGTGATCCCGAGTTCACCATTAGTCACATTCTCACGCTGGGTAAGGATTTATGTCATTTTAAACCGAGTGGAGGCGTCTGTTGCTTGGAGTGCTACAGCCGTGGTCACGTTAACCAGACAACAGCGTTATAAGATGTGTTGGATTTGCTGCGAGTTGCAACTGTGAGTGACCTGGTTAAGCTTTCACCACATCTGGCAGATCTGTTGATATAGCACAGTTGACGGAGGGCGGTTTGAATTCGTAATTTGTGACCTGTTGTTGTTTACTTTTGTAATGTTACTTAAGAGCTAGCTAATGTTAGCCAGCTGGTTAGCCGCAAAGCTTGCGTCACCATTGTTACCGGTGATATTCGTGCAGACAAACCAGGGCGTGGAGGTGCCTCCAGACTTGGCATTGCTACGTTAACAGGAATATTGTGATGCAGGCATGGGAATAACGTTGCTATAAGCGTCCTGTTAAGATACACTTAGCTAACGGCTACAAACAACACAAACATCCCAGACAGCATGGGCGTGGTTATGAGAGTGCAGAGTAGAAAAAAAAAAAACAGTAACTGAGGTTATGATGGGGCTGCTATGGTCAGGCCGCATGTTCACCTTTGCCGTAAGGCTGGTTTTAATAACATTACGTTATACTTGCAGGGCATGAATGACAGCAATAGCTGTTGAAATGTTAGCTGTCTGCTGAGCCTGCTGCAGATCAGCAGCCTGACTCAGCTGTTGACCCTCACAACAAAGAGTCTGTCACAGCTGCTGCTTGGCTATGGCAGGGCAGGGTACCTTAAACTGTCTAAAATAAAATATGTCTCCCGTGAAACGTGAAACACTTGAAGGACTTAACACGCAGTTGTTTTAATGGTTAGTTTACATGATATTTTATTAGTGAATTATCACAGGATGGGACTTAAAAATCAGTACAGTTATTTATCATTACTAATACATTGTATGTGAGCAAACTTTAAAAACACAGTGGTCTGTTCAGTGGGAAACTGCAGCTTTTAGACTTAAGTCCAGTTTGCTCATAACATTCCTGAGGTGCCTATTACTCAGACTGATCTACGACTTTGCATGTGACCACAAGTCACATAACTGAGACCCTCTTGACTTCAATGAAAGGGAATTTGTCTCACTTTGATGCAGAAAATTAAGATCCAGTTTGCACAATTTATTATAGACAAACGTCTTTTTTTTAGCAGAGACATGTTAATGGATGGCTAATAGTCACAATGCATGTGAAGGGCAAAATGTGTTAATTTTGAAATAAAGATATTTACAGCATATGATTTTTGTCCAGGTTGCTGGCATTGCTGTGTAGTCTCCCATCATAGTAGTAGTAAGTGAATTCATTAGTCTGCCAAGTGGCAAATCAAGTTCAGCTGGTCTCTCATCATAGTAGTAGTAAGTGAATTGTGGCAAAAGTGGCAAATCAAGTTCAGCTGGTCTCTCATCATGTACCTAGTAAAATTTTAACCTGGCCATGCGCCTTTTATCTGAATCTGATCTAACCCACCTGATCCAGTAGTTTGTTAATTTCATGAATATGGCAAACTCAAATGGGCAAATTCATTAAAATACTTTATGTAAATGATGTCAGTAGATAGCCTAGAACTAACTGCTTATAATATGTTTGGGCACTAAGAAACCAATTAATCTATAAACCTAGATAATAAGTTTACACTTGTGAGGATGTACCATAAACTAATGATATTAATTAGCATGCTGGCATACTACATATACTGTGTAAGTAATTGATCACACTGCTGTTGCACGTTGTGATAGTGGCATGAGGCATTGTTGTGTTTTATCCAGATTCTGTAATATATCATGTGAACTGATTGCTTTTGTATCTGCTTCACAATATGTAGGACTTATCCATGTATAAATTAATCATAGATTTTATCCAGACCTTGTTATTATATGTTGCTGTCATGCTGTGTGATTTATGGCATATGAAATGAAAGTAGCACTTTGTTTGTTTCTGATGTTTAGATCCGGCTGAAATCCAGCTTTGTTTAGACAGTCTAAGCAGAGTTAATGCAGTGTCATCAGTCCTTTGTGTACTCTCAGCACGTGAGTGCTGCATTGATGTGGTGAATGACTGAGGCTGTGAACTCTGCCATCAGAGGTCAAACAGTAGCAAGAAATGAAAGATTGGTCTCAAAGTACCATATAACAAATAATGATGTAAATAGCAACATTTAACTCTTACCTCTGTGCTTCAGGTCAAAGCGAATGGGGGCAGTGTTTGTGGTTGTGATGCACACCCAGTTTATATGCATGAAGTGTTTTGGAGAATGAGGAGGAACAGACCTGGCTGCATGTGATGGCGAGTGGGAGTAGCCTGCAGAAAACTGCAACACCCAGAGTCAGGCTGCATAGCAGAGAATTACCCTCATTTCAGGAGGAGCTGCTGCTCATTATGTTGCCTCTCCTGTATGGATGAGTAAGTGGGGAAAAGAGAAAATGAGGAGAGAAGGCAGTTACACACAGTAGGTTATGACTGAGGAAGACATGGTAGCTTTGTAAGTGGTATCAGGTGGTTCAAAGCTGAGAACATTAGGCCTCTGGCTTAGTGCAGGGTTCTCTGGTTAAAGCCTGACTTGTGTCACAGTTGTGGTCTTCTGTTTCTAACCTTTTGTTCTCAGAGTTACTTTTTTTGTCATCATCCCACATGCTCACCTATAACCAATAACAGCCATTGATTGCTTTATTGTGTACTAACTGTTGTTGTCATTCTGCCTTGATGGCTCAGAACGTCTGCCAGCACTCCGTACATGTTGTGTATTACACACCCTCTCTTCTTTGCTGGGACTCTGAGTCTGGGCATAATGACATTGTTGGGCTGTCCCAACATAACCAGTCTTATCCCATTAGTACTGGGGCATAGGGGGACAAATGGGCTATTGTTTTAACTATGCACTCATACCTTTGGACCCCTGTGTGTCATGTGGGCTGTCTTCTACTGGTCTGTAGATTCAGGTCATTCAGCTCAAACTGAATGAGTAAACACATTTACTTACACCAGCTTGTTAAAGTGAACGGGAGGCAGGAATTACAACAAACTCCTTGTGAAGTTGGTTCTTGCTTGACAAAGGCACTTTTGGTGTAGTGAGCAACCATGGACCTATTACAGTTTTCTAGTGCTTCACTTTTTTCTAAATGTCAAGTTTTATATTATGCCACCTGTTGCTCTCTGAGCTGAGGAAGTTGTGTTTTTTCCTTCATAATGTCAGTACCTCAGTGACATCTTAAAGGTGTGCTGCCTGTGTTTCTACATGCTTCTAAAGTGCAGGAGATGTTTGGAAACGGTTCTGAATGTCCTGAGATGTAAACATGAGTTTGGATTGGAACCAATTAAAGATGTTTTGTTTTTTTTATTGATTGATACTGGCTACATAAAGCTTAATATTTTCCATAGTGTTTCATTAATTTCCTTATTTCAGACACATAATATTCTTGATTTCACTACACAATTATTAGTCGTAGTTAAATCAGTACATCCCATCAGAGCTGAACTCTGCAGTGAATCACTAGCAGAGGGGATAATCCTATCTTTAATTGAAGAAGAAGGTCAGTATTGAGTGCTGGTAACACTTAGTGACAAGTATTCACCGTTCCTCATTCAGATTGGTCCTGAGAGTGAGTGAATTCACTACATTACCAGGCTTGAACTGGTAATGTAGTGACCTGTTCTGTGTTCTTGCATTAGTTTCAAAATTTTAGAATGGAGGGGCATAGTAGAAGATTTCAGGATCACAGTTGTTGTTTTGCAAGTACCAGATCTACTCTCTGCGTTTTGGTAATTTATCCTGTCATAGAGCATACATAGTAGAGATACAGTAGGCATTTGTCTCTGCCTCTCAAACAAAGAAGCTGTGTGCTTTATAGTGCCATGCTGTGTCTGTCTGGCTAGGTTAGTGTCTTGTCCGGATGGTGCTGGGCTTTGGGTATGGTCTTCAGTTTGACTATACATGCTGCTTTGCATTGTACAATCTTGATCCATCTGTGCTGGCCTGTGGTGCCACTGACTGTTCATTATTAGTGCATCATACAGTCACCTCCGTGTTTTCTCAGATTGTGCAGTAGGTAGGTAGGTAGGTACTTTATTGATCCCTCAATGGGGAAATTTCAGTGTTTCAGCAGCAATGGAGAACAAACAACATAACACCATGAGAAACAAACACATGTCTTGATAAACCAATTTCAGTACCTCAAGCAGCAATAGAGAACAGACAGTAAAAATGCGTCTGCCAGAGACCCTCACTGCTTCGGCGTAACAGTGAAGCCGAAAATGTGGCTGGGACAGTGTGGCCAGAAAGTCTTTGTCGGAACAGCTGGTGAAGTTGAGGGAGGGAGAGAGGAAGGGCGGAAACAGGAAGTCAGGGAGTCAGGGTGCGTGGGATAGGGCACTGAAAGATGTAGTTTCAAACGGGGATAGAGCGTGCAACAGACAGAACAATAAGAATGGAAAGAGGGTGGGGACTTGCAGTGTAATAATCTACATGTATTCACAGGCTGCTTACAACCAACAGACAGTGCATATAAACATCATCAGTGTGATGCCCACTGCAACAAATTGCTTTATCAGACATGACCTCTGACTGTCTGACTTTCGCTTTCTTTCTTCACTCCAGTTTGTTTTAGGCTTTAGCTCTTGCTCACTCGAGAGCTGCAACAATTAGTCAGTCAAATAACAGACTGATGGAAAATAAATTTGCAAATGTTTTGAAAATCAATAAACAGTTAAGTAATTTTTAGACCAGTGTTAGGTATTTTTAGTCAGATAGATATTGGATAGATACTTTATGTATTAGAAATGTTTAGTGGAGATAGGATGTCTAGTTAGACTGTTAAATGCTTAGTCATGCTTATGAGTTTCTACAGGGTACATCTGGTCAAGGATAACTAGAGAGAAATGTTGATGACTGTCAGCAGACAGGGTGTTTAATATTATTATTACGACGTGTATAACGGTAGCCTTAGCCATAATATGTTCTTATGTTTAAGACACGACATGTTACTAGAGGTCGTGTGAGAATGTTTTTAGCTACACACCACTTAATCAACAAACACACACACATTGATTTGCTTCATGTTTTGACTACTGCTATGGCCAGCTGCAAAGCTGGTAACAGAGACGTCTCGGTTGACGTTTCTGTGTAGTATGGGGCTAGCCCAACCAAAGGGATATAATGTATAGGCCTGGTGGGTGCAGGGTCTTTCATCTTACATCTGCCTGCGAGCAGTTTGGAGGTGCAAGATACCTGAGCGTGTAATGTTAATTTTACCTGTGATCCTTTGAATAAATCAGCACTGTTTTGATGTTACTTGGACTGGCTCGTCTCTCAGAGTTAGCAATGGTAACAAGAACCACAGTCCTTCACCAGCATGCCACTGGTTACAGCTTCTCAGTTGTGAATATTTGGTTATATTTGTGTTCTATAATATTAAACTAAAGATATTTTGGTTTTTGGTGTGATAGACAAAACCAGACATTTGCATATTTCATCCTGGGTTTTGGGAAGTTGTCATGGGATTTTTTTTGTCTGTTATTTGACATTAAAGGGGCCAAGAAAGTAGCTGATTAAAAGTGAATGCCACTGGTTAAGTGTTGTACTTCAATTACATCACCAGAGTTTCAATGGGAAATTTCATAAAGGGCTTGATACAACCTTTTCACATATGCAGTAGTGCTCCCCATGACATGTAAACATACTTTGTTGTGTAAATTTGGTTTACATATTCTTGAGTTAATAATGAGAACAGCTGCACCCTTGACTTAATCCTGTGTGACTGTGGTGGGACCGGTTCAGAGATCATTACTACTAACTTGAACTGGAAGCAACTTTTGCAAATGCCTCTCCTCATCATTTGCATCAATATCTTGTAATGTGAGAACAGATATATCATTGCTTCATTTTAAAGTGTGTCGCAAGATGAGACTTGTGTTGGGTAAATGTGAGATGCCTTATTATGCTATTTGTGTTCCTGACCTTGCAGAGTCAGTTTCTTTGTTTAGCCAAACACCAGTGGATCCACCAGCCAGCTATCTGACTTTGTGTTTGTTTTTCTCATGCATGCTTTTCTCTGTCAGATGAATCCCTTGCTTCATTCTCCTCCCAGCCTCCTCCTTTCTGCTGCACCCTGTAGGGGTGGTAGTTTGGCTTGTTGACTCTAAGCAAATTTGTGCCACCCTGTAACATCAAACGGAGCTTTTGATATGTTAGGCAAACTTGTTTTTCTTCGGTCATAAGAATATTACTGTTACTAAACTAAACCGTAAACTTATACTTGTGTAATTGTTTTCGATGCACACTGCTTTACACTGTATTTACGCTTTCAGCCATTCACACATAAATATTTACACCACATTCACACACTAGTGGGATAGCCACTGGGGGCAATTTGGGGGTTCAGTCTTGCCCAAGGACATGTGGGCACCAGACAATACGTGTCGGAACTTAACAGTCTGGACTACAACAGGTTTGGAGTGATGTGCTATGAAACACAACAGGATAGAGTGGACTTTGTGTCCTACCTCACAGACACTGGGTCAGTTCTATGATAAAGTCACAGACAAACCAGTGTTTACTTTAGATATTGAGGTTGATGTCATTTGGAATAACTAATGCATGCGCAGGCCTGGTTATGAATTGGTCCTGCACAGAATACTATCCAAGTGCCATACAGAGGCTAAAACGAAGAACTTGATAGATGCCAAGACAAACTGGATGGGAACTAGATGGGAGTTTTTATTAGTGGACAGGTCAGTAGCTACTGGTTTCCCCTCAGGCAGTAATGTCAAGGGCAACAGCAGAACATCGTAAGCTTGATTTGTGGTTCTATGTTAAATCTACACCGTATCTATGGTGGGATTGTGTAATGGCAAGAATCTGGTGAACACTACGTCTCATGATATAGTGGTTATGATTCGATATATTATGATACTGTAAACAAGGTGATATATTGTTTTTTTTATCTAATTTTAGAAAAACTGTCATAAAATATGCAACACACCACCATATGCATAAAATCTCCTGTAAAAAAAAAAGTTACATTTTTATGCAATCAGAACAGGGATCTGCATTTTTATTTGTCACAGTCCCTGTAACATCCAACAACATGGCACACTGGTCTTCAGTGCAGCATTTCTCTCTTGGCATTAGCTCGGTATAATAGTCGTAATGGACATTGGTATTGCTAGTATTGACAAAAGGAGTATGCTGATGATATTGTTATTTTTGTTCTGTTAGGATCGTGTGAAAATTTGTATTTATTTAATTTTTTTTCTTTGTTATTGTTTGATGGTATGCTACATAGTGCAGTAATTTGTGAGAGCAGTCTTGATATAAAAATATACTGTAGGAAGTCTTTCTGGGAGTTACAGTTGCATTGGATAGCACTGTGGCCAAAACCAAAATTAAAACAAAGGCTTTTAAACCTTGTGTGGCTAACTTGTTGGCTGCGAATGCACAGGGCTCCCCTGTGAGCACCCAGGGCTCAGCAGATACCATTCTGTTTATTCCAGGACCATAAATCCTCTTTGCATGGTTGTTGATCAGCTCATGAAAGCAGCTTAGTAGCTACAGACAGACAGGCAGGAAACTGTTTCTCTGTTAGCTGGGGGGTCAGGTGATCACACACACACGACCCCAATGGGGTATAAAGAAGGCAGGGAAGAGAGTGAAAAACAAAGATAGAAATGGACATGGAGATGTGTGTGACTGGCGACTCCAGAGGGAGTTTGAAATTGGCACAGTTGAGTCAGGGATTTTTCAAAATAAGGATCCAATGTAATCTGAGTAACCACACAACTGGGCCTACTGTAGACTGACACCAGGACAGCTGTACACTTTGGAAACAATCAGTGCACCTGTGGTTGTTTGTTGACATAAGTGGGGTGCGAGGTGAGAGAATAACAGTTATTAGTGGTGCCACATAGGGCGGCTACTAAATATTATTGTCTTTATCGGTTAATCTGCAGATTATATTCTCAATTAAAATAGCCAGAAAATAATAATAAAAAACCTCTGTTATAATTTCTACAGCCCTGCTGTGCTAGGACTTTGGCTTACCTGTTACCTGTTTGACAGTTCTGGCCTTGATGTTGGAGGTGTTATAAACAAAGGCCAGCCCTGTATTCAGATTAAATTAATGCTCTAACATATAAGATCCTAGCCTTGTCAAATTTTTAATTTACACCTCTGTCTCTATCTTTCTCTTCCTCTCTGCACAGGTCAAATTCCTTCTTCCCTTCCCCTCCTCCCCTTGCACCCAGTACAGAGCCAGTTGCCATGGAGCACTCTTCAGTGGCATCCGCATCGTCGGAGACTGGGAGCACACGCTCCCAGGAGATAGAAGAGCTGGAGCGCTTCATTGACAGCTATGTGCTGGAATACCAGGTGCAGGGGCTCCTGGGAGACAAGGCAGATTTGGATTTGGACAATGTTGGCAACGTGCCCCAGGTAGAGGACATGCTTTCATTAGGCCCATATCTACTCGCAGCAGTGGTTATGTTTAGGCACAGTGTCTGGGAGGGGTACAGCATGAATCAAAACACCCGCATTTATACAAGTATGTAAAACTAGACAAAGGTAGAGGTGCACCCACCAACGCTGCAGCTGGAGTGTTATCTGCATTAGAAACTCAACACACAATCATGCTGTTGTGAGGTAGTTTGTCAGTATATGTTTATAATTACATTTCAAAGACACCATCTCCCCGTTTCTCTCCTCCAGTGGACAGACGACTGCAATGACAGGAAAGATGGAAGCTGGACATCTTCAAGGGGAAGAGGCTCATCCAAGCCAGTAAGTGTGTGTATCTGTGTGTCAGGGTTCTGCTTATATGACTGCTTTGGAGTTCACCTGAATTCTTCAAGTGGACAATCATTCACAGTCTGCTTGTACATGTTTATGTTTTTACAAAAGTGACTGAGGGGAACTGATTGGTCTAAATTCAAGGATGGATCACTGATGGAGAAAAATGATAGTGGGTGGTCATTGAGTATAATGAAGATGAGCGACTTCTCTGTAGTCCCTTTAGCCTTTGGGTTGTTTATGTGGAAGTGTGGAAGTTTATGTGTTTCTGGAAAGTATTAGTGGGAGTCTGTTGCCTGGTGGTGTCTGAACTCCTGGTGCTCTTTCACGTGAAACGTCTGCAGGTGCTTGATTAAATTGGTTGTATTGTGTGGCACAGTAAATACTTCCACCCCTTGGCATGCTGGCTTTACACTCATTACAAGTAGCTCTCTTGCTTTTTGGCGTGTCCAGACTAAAATATGTCCAAACAAATGACACTTTAGTAAAACCAACAGCGGTTATTTGCTCAGTCAGTTAGAAACTGAAGATGCTGCGGTTTTATGGTAAGATGTGGAATAGAATCTGGATCAGTGACGCATCTCATGTTACCTTATGTTAGGTTATAGAGGGCTCATGGTACAGCGCAAGCTGCAGACTGGAATATGGATCAGTAAGTGTACCGGCCCTGTCCGTCTATCAATGAGTGAAAGACATCAATATCTGACCCAATACCGATCTAGGATCAGATCGGGCCCATCTCTTTTTGTGCACCGTTGCACCCCTAATATACAATATACATCATCCATGAGCTGAATAAGTCCATGAACTAATGAATCAGTCAGTCCTAATAACGGACCAAAGGTAAATTAATCAAGAACAACTATTATCCACTTCAAGATTCTGTTGATATTTTATTCAAAAACAGGGCTGATATACAAAATAGGACAAGTCGTCATCATCAGCCCTCAACAGGCAATCTTAGGGGAGCTTGTAATCAGTCATGAGCAAGCTAAATATGTCAAGCATTCGATCATAAGCACATTAAAATGATCAAAACCAGAATCAACTCTGGAAATTATAAAATGGAATTTGAAAATAATAAAAATGCTTAAAATGTGAAAGAATATACTGTAGGTTGCAGTCAAGGAAACTCAATATCTTTGTGTTTATGGCAATTTGGAATGCAATCTCAAGTGTAAAATAAAGGATGAATCAAAACAGATGAATAAATTAAACCCATTTATGAAATATGAGTGAATCAATCTCGTGGATAATTAAGTATGAACATACTGTATCTATTAGTTAAAAGAACAAGGAGTCCCCATTATCACAACACTTGTGGTTTTATACCTGTGTATGAAACTCAACATTACCAAAATGTAGGCAAGCAACTGTACCTATAAGACCCTAGGTGTGTACTTGGCAAATGTCTTGACTGTGTCCATGAAGTTCCTGTGTTCTTGGAACATAGTGCTTATATGAGCATACAGTCCTCCACTGAAAAACAAAACAAGCAATCCCAGAAGTCTGCATAAACGCCATGTCAGAATTTAAGCGAACTCAGTCTTCTTCTGTGCTCTAGTCTCTCTGATCACTGGAGTTCACACTGACTAAAGCGTAGGTTTGCTCCGCTCTCAGTTCAGTGTGTTCGTGTCAGTGTTTCCCTTTGTCAGCTCTTCAAGTGTGTGATTAGAGGGGACAGTAACACCAGCTTTAAGTGATTCGCAACTCATCTGTTTGCTTGTGGTTGCTGGAGGCAAAGTATACTTTTAATGAGTAGCACGGGATCCTGTGAGGCTAGAGACAGTAACTGAATGATCCTAAATGAATTATCAGTCAGCGAGTCTGCTAGCTGTACAGTGTGTGGTGACTTACATTATTATTGTTCTTCAGAGATTTATTGGTATGACTCACCAGGAAGTGAGTGGTGAGGGAAAAGTGGCAGGGGCGAGAGGTTTAGAGAATGGAGAGTGGTCCAAAATATGAGAGGTAAAATAGTGAGACTAAAATTAAAATGTCAGTATTTATTTCAGTACATGAAATTCTAGTCAGTACGTTTTTAATATCGCAAAATGTTCTGTTTGCTTTGACATTTAGCTTCTGGAAGTGTAAAGTCCGACACTTGCCAATAAAACCTGAGATTAGCTTGACCCTTGTGGTGTGTTTTCTCTTGCTGTATATAGTGAAACTCAAAAACAATCCAGCAATAACAAACACATGTAGTGGCAAAATTAGGAGTTGTCTTGTCTCAAAAATTCCACAGATTTAAAAAAAAAAGTGCTCTGAATTGTTGCATGAATGTAATAATAGGTAATGATGTAGAATAACATCATGTACACACATTTTGTTGTGGTTTTTATTTTGTCTGTTTTTCCTCTGTGTTCCTCACTGTGCCAGAAAATTAAACATGTTGAATTTTGAATAAAACAAAATCCTCATCCCTTTTGTTTCCTCCACCTCATTCAACTCTTCAGGACGAGTGGGAAAATGGCAGCAATGGCAGTACAGGTTCCGGGCCAAGCTCAGGGTCCAGACCAGGTTCTGACACGCGCTCTGGCAGCGGAGGTCGAAACAACCACTTCACAGGCCATGCCAAGGTTCAGGTGGTCTTACTGCTATAACGTCCCCTCAGCCTTCCTTTAGTGACCACTGCTGTCTTGGAGATGTTTGACCAATACTTTTGCTACTTCTCTCACATGACTCTCATATTTTCACTGTATTGCTTCCTTGAGTGTTTTTAGCTTGCATCTGTTTTAACCATTCTTTTTTAGATTTGTTGCTTGTTTCCCAACTTTCCTGAAGTGCTGAACAAAGTTGGTGGTATACCACTTTAACTAAACTAAATATGCTGTGTGTGTGTGTGTGTGTGTGTGTGTGTGTGTGTGTATACTCTCTAAGGAAAACAGTATATGTATAAATCTATGCAAATAATTTTTCCCAACAAAAAAGTACTATGTACATTTTAAAGCCTCTTAAGATTTCAAATCTGTACCTTTTTTTTAATTTAAAAGGAATCTGCTTTTTGAGAAGTTCCATACCAGCATATAAAGGTTAAACATAAGCTAAGAAAGATAGGTATGTGATGCTTTGGTAAGACATGTTTTGTAATCATACTGAAAATATTCTTCTGTCCTTTTCCTTACGTGCTATGTAGAACGGGAACCGAGAGGGCTCCTTTGACATCCTGGGGACTGACATATGGGCTGCCAACACAATGGACTCACGCGGGTACGTCCCTGCAGTCTGCAGACTCTGAATTCCAGCCATAGTTTATTGAGGGTCATTTGTCAGATTGAGGCACACAAGTGGGTCTTTTAACTTCTCGCCTCTGGCTTTCATAGTCTTTAACACTCCTTTAATTCTTTTGGTTGCTCTTCTCACTGACTTTCCAACCTGACTTTGTTTATCTTAGCAACAGTTCCCTATGGTAATTTGTCCAGTGCTTGAGTGTAGGTTAGCCCAAAATAGTATTTCTTGGCTTTTCCAGAGCCAGTTTACTTCTGGGACATGACATTCAAAAAATTAACCTTTTAGCAAGTGGACTGAGCCAAGTCTGTTTGTCAATCTTACTAACTTTTAAATTAATCAATACACCACTGAAATGTGGCGTTTGTTCCAGTGAAAAGTATTTAGTTTTAGTGTTACTGCCAGCAGCCATGTTTATGGTACAGCTAACCACTGAAGGCTGGACAGATTTATGCAAGTGAGATTTGTTAAAATCTTTACATAATCTCACTCAGCTACTGCAGTGTGGCTACAATATTTTTTTCCAAACAAGAATAAGACCTGAAACTTGGAGAAAGGGGAAAAAGAGGAAATGAGTATGGCATAAATCAGTCACGCTGGAGGGGATACTGGTTTCCATGGCAACTGCTGCATCAGATGAGGTGCTGAAGTTCCGGCCACGTTGGCACATCTGAGCTGAAACAATGGAGATGGCAGCACAGTAGGATGATGTAAGCAGCTGTCTCCTCACGCAGACACAGATGTAGTGTTGAGTTAATACTGAGTGAATACTGACACTGATGACTTTGAGTGGGAGTCACTTATGCCCTAGTTACAGCTGCATGGAAACGGTCTTACCAACATCTGCGTAGCAAAAAGTGTTGACTGTAGGTTCAGATATAAGTGGTGGTTTGGAGCCTGGCTCCTTCAATACATATGCTTAAGTGCCTTTGTTTAGGGTTCAGTATCGTGCTCAACCTCTTGTCTATTTATGGGCAACAGTGTAAAAGACAACATGCAAATGCAATCGAATGTCCCTAACTTGGGCAACCTGGAGAAGCCAGCTTCAGTCTCTTTGGACAAAGGTATCCTATAAATGGATGTCATCTTTTTTTAGATACATGGTGCATAAACAAAAGCAGGAAGACTTCCTGTGAAGATGTCTTGTACTCTTGTAAACCTTTCCTCTTTGTCCTAGTGTGTATGAATGGATGCTAGCTGTCCTCTGATCTGTCTTTTGTCTCTGTTGTAGAGGTGTAGGTTGGGATGTGCAACCAGATAAGTTGGACTTCAGCCATTTCCACAGGAAACACTTAAGAGGGACACCAAAGCACCTGCCACACATTGACAGAGAGGGGTAAGATCTGAGCTCTAGGTCTGTGTTTTGTCTACAGTGTTTGGTTCTGCTGGTGCAGTAATGTTTTGATTATATATTAGAATTGCCACTAATTGATCACATTTGCCTGAGGATCATCTCTGATTGTTACAATTCATTAATTGTCTCTGTATCTCTCTCAGGGTGAACAAAAACAAGTTTGAAGAAGATGATGGTGTAGATTTGAATGACATAGAGAGGTTCCTACCTAATCTGCGCTCTGTAAGTTACGGATTTTTTTTTTTTTCTCTTTATGAAACCAAGTGCTAATTTCTAGTTTTCACACTAACATGCATTACTTCTTAATGTACATAGTTATACTACACTAGCACCACTGTGTATTTTGTAAAGCGGTAGCAAACTGCAGACAAAGCCTGTCCATTAGTTGTTACAGGGTGACCTCTGGTGGCTCAATGGTAAAATAACAGGTTCACTTGACAGAGCAGCAGTGCTGCGACCAGGTTCACAGTGGAATCAAAAGATATTTTATTGATCCTGAGGGAAATTCAGTATCGCACAGAATCATAGTTCTCCATAGTGAAACATCATTGCAAACTAAAGCCAGTATCATTGTTCCAGCCTTAGAAGAAAATTTATGTACAGTCAGTCAGATTTTTCTTGTAGAAGAACCATAAGTACATGAGATCAGTCAGCATAGATTACATGTCACAAAGGATCTGAGTTGAGTATAAATGAACCTTTGGTGACACCTAGTGGCCAGGTGCTGAGGTAAGCTGTAACTGGCCTGGATGGTTGTATACAAGTACAGTATTTTAAAGCTGGACCCAGTTACATCTTGAGATGTGGTGTTGGTTGTTGTTTAGGTAGTGGCTGTTCTTATATCACCTTCATGCAACAGCTTTAGTGCTCAGAAGATATCCTTACACATTTTTCTTGTCCTTGTGTACACTGAAAGGATTACTAGTTTGCTGTAATCATTCTTCATGAAGACAGCCCTTAGTAATGTGACTACATATGACAAATTACAAAATATTGTGTGTATATAGCATGTATAAAGGTATTCTGTAGTTTAGCTGGAGTTAAATTGCAGTGACAACAACCCAAGTTAGCCAGATCAGTTGGGTATTTTCCAAGGTTATGGTGTTTTCAGTACAAAACTCCCCATTTTTGCTGCTGAGCTTCAGCTGACAGAAAAAACAACGTACAATCCACTTGACTTGGCTCAGACTGCATGAGACAGGCTGAAGGATCACAAGTATAGAGTGCTTCTGTAGTGAGGACACTTCCTTTCTGTATACATATTGTACATCCTGAAGGGCATTTTACAACAACACCTTCCTTTGATTATGATGTATTTGCCATCGACAAAGTTAAATTAATTTTGCAGCTGTATAGTCCATTGCAGGGTATAAGACATTAAGCACTGTTTTCTCCAAGGTGATTGGTGATTGATTGGGGTGGCAGAACTCACGGTGGGTTGCTTGATGTCACCCATCTCTCTTCCTGCCCTGCTTTCTGAGCCAAAGAATCTTCCATCTTTCATAATGTTTGAGCTACAGTGTCTTCCTCTTCACTTCCTCTCTTGGCTCCTGAGCCGAGTTGCGTCTCTCCTCAGCCAAGTTGGGCCCAGTTTCGCTACCAAGGTGGTTTCCTCACTGTATAGTTAGTTCTTGAGCCAAGATTACAGTTTCCGCTCATTCAGTTAGGGTCAAAAGAAAGATGGGGTCAACTATGTCTGTCTGCTGTGCTTGGTATCGGATATGTGTTGGCACTGCGACACAGTGAGTTCAGAGAGACAGAGCTGGGGAGTGAGTGCCACCGTTTGTCTTCTCTCACTCACATTCCTGAGCTGTTTTGACTTGCACATGCCTCATACAGATTCTCTCTCTCACCTTCTGTCAGTACTGATTATTATGCAGTCATGGAGCCACTAATGCCCAGTTGTTTTTCCTCCTTGGTCTCAGATATCCCCTAAGACAACAGGGACAGCACTTGAGTTTCCATGTTCTGCTTGGCCAGTAGGTTCAGAGAGCCAACACTGAAAATATAAAATGCTCAAATCAATCATTGTAAATGTCATGTGAACTGGAGTGGCTTGCAATCAAAAGTATGGACCATCTCCAGAAGTCATTGTTAGTCATTAACCAACAGTGGTAGAAGTACTCACATCCTTTACTCAAGTAAAATTAGCAGTACCATAGTGTAAAAATACTCCATTACAATTAAGTCCTGTTACCTAGGTATTAGCATCTAAACATCCTTAAAATACTAAAAAGAAAAGTTGATGCAATGGCACATTTTACATGAATGTATATCATATTGAATTGTAATTACTAATACAATATTATGCACATTATATTTAATGTTGCAGCTAGTAAAGGGCAAATTTTAATGAGCTTACTGTATATAATTATATAAGTATTTTACATAGTGCTGGGCAGCTTGTGAACTTTCTATGGGAGATCAGTGAAGTTATGATTATACTGTAAATCTTGTATTAATCTAGTTCTAAAACATAACTAACTCAAGTTATAAATGTAGTGGAGTAAAAAGTACAATATTTGCCTCTGAAATGTATTAAGTCCAAGTACAAAGTAACACAAAATGAAAATATTTAAGTACAGTACTCGAGTAAATATGCTTAGTCACTTTCCACAACTATTAACCAATTTTACAACCAGTTTAAACAATTCTTCAAAGAATGATTAAACATGTAATTGATCCACCTAACAATAATAATCATTAGGAGCAGCCAAAAAGAGTATCGTGAGGTTGTTTTTTTTTTCCCTTCCATGATTATAAGTGCACTATGAAGCTATGCTATACAGGGAAATATCAGCATCTGGTTGGAATCCTGTATGGACAAATGGTGGTAAAGGACTCGCATCACATACAAATCACACTTCACGGTATTTGTGGAGTCTTTGGGTGGGTGAGTGAGTGAGAGCGAGATTTTGTGTTGGTATTATGGGTTGTTGTTGTTGTGAGTTGAAATGGTTTGGCTGTGAGGATCTCAGCTTGTTTCTGCCTCTTTCATTTTTGTTAATGCATACATGCCCATCCTCCTTACTGTAAGTAGAACAGTGTTATGTGGCAGGGGATTTTTATTTGTTGCTGTTAGAACTCATGACTGTCATGTCTTGCTTGTTAACTCACAAGCAGTGGTGGAATGTAACAGACTACATTTACTCTACTAGTACTAGGGCTGTTCCCAATGGCAATTTTTGGGCTTCGGAGCATCGGTAATAAGAATAGGCAAACGTTAAGATACTTCTACTTTGATTGAATGTTTCCATTTTATACTCCTACTCTACTACATCCCAGAGGAAATATTGTACTTTTTACTCCACTACAGTTGTCTGACAGAACTAGTTGTCAGTTTACTGATTAAGAATTTTGCATAAATACTAATTAAGCTTATAAAGATTAAACCACTGGTTCCCAAACATTTTACTTATGGGCCTTCTTATTGTAGCAGGTCCACTAAAGAGAGATTTCCCCTCTCAGCTTCTCATATGGTTTAGTTTAAATGTAAACTGTTAAAATAAGGTCTGGCTAGAAGCCCAAACAGTTCAAATTAATTTAATGTCTCAAAAAGCAGTAAAAGACAAATGAATGGACAACAGCATATATGAATACATTGATGCAGTAACAGGGGGCATTTTTAGTCTACATTCACTACATTTACTTTTGATATTTTAAAAACATTTTGCTGATAATCTTTATGTACTTAATAAGTTTGAATGCAGGAATTTTAGTTGTAATGGAGTATTGTTGTATTTGTACTTCTATTAAAGGTGCAGTTCCCCTGCAAAGTTCCGGGTATTGGTTGTTCCCAGGAGCTAAAAGTCCCACAAGCACATTATGATTTAGATTTCCACAGCAGGTCAAAAGCCCTTGGAAGACTAAGCAAATTGACGTAAAAGTGCAGCTGTCGGCAGCGGGGTTGTAAGTCCGCGTTCAAACTGAATTTCAAAGGCGTGAAAAACACAGCTCTCATTCATTTCCATAGGAGACTGCGTTCACTGCAGCCAGCACCAGTGCTGGGGCAAAATTATGCAACTCCGTGCAGCAAAAAAGTTGGATCGCTGGACAGTAACATCTTCCAACAAAGGTGCTGCACTGACCAATCACATATGGGAGGACAATAGGGACATGGACGCCCCTGTTTACCTTGTTAGCATGAGCATTCACTGCTATTCATTGTCGAATTTAGGCCACACTTAATACACCATAACACCACCATAAATCTTTGTTAGTATTAGATGTTAAACAGTGTTGTTTTTTTTTTTTATATCTATCAATGCCATCACCGTGGTGGCAGAACTGGTGCTAAGGTAGAGTAGGCTACGTTAGAAGCATTGCTAACCAAAACACAATGGAAACTCTTGGGCTAGAAACTTGAATGAAGCTACTTGCATTAACTCGTCACGACGTGGCCATATTGTACACACCTACAAGAGCTATGAAATGTGGATCAAAGATTTGTGGCTGTGTTTATGTTAAAAATACATTCATTCTTATAGACTAATTGTTTCACATAACATCTAGTGTTATATTCTGGAGAAAGCACTATTTGATTGGTGGGATGTCAGACTGGGATGCAATGCTCGTTTGAATCAAGCATCGACTAGACTGGCAGCGATCAGCTCCGGAGACCATGTTACAGATGGAATGCGACGCAGCGGCAACTGGTATAAATGAGGGGCAAGTTCTGCGAAAAGTTTTAGTTGTGCAGTGTAGATGTTTACCGTTTGTTTCTGAAGACAGTATTTATCATCATCCAGCATTTATATATTTGTAAGCTACTGTATGCAACCCCGCACACGTCTCTTTTTTCCTCTGTCTACATTCCAAACTTCCTGCCAACATTCACTTCCCCTTTCCAGGAGCCAGAATAGACTTACATCCCTGGGACGTGGAAAACATCTCATTCCTACGTGTGTGTAGATGTGTGAGCAGCTTGGTGAGAAAGGGCTTCCTCCATTTGCCCTCAGATTCTGCTGCACCTCTACTGGCCTCTCTGGAATGTCAGCTTGCACATACAATAAGCTCCCCCTCACATCCAGTGTCAAGCTGTAATGACAGAAGATTCAGGGGTCAGAGAGCAAGTACTTAATCTGTGAACTCCAATACCACACAGATCTTGAGAAACTTTAAACATGAAAACCAAAAACGAAATGAAAATTTCTAGTTTTGTCATTTTGTCAAATTACCAGCAAACTACACAAAACAAAAATATTTTGTGGAGAGAGTAAACA